TTTTAGTTTGTTGTTTGGTGTCTCCATGGTCGTTCGTCTTTTTGTTGTTCCTTTTGTGTCTGTTTGGGAGGGTTCTCAGATCTGGAGGTATATAAGTTGGAATGGTTTTAATGTGGGAGGGGAGGGGGGGGGGAGTCTGTATATAGGATACTCTCTCTGGGGGGGGTGGGGGGGAGGGGGGCAGGTGCTTCTTATTAACAGGTTAATATGTATAACAGCTACTGACCAAAGTAAGGAAATCCATGATTCTTGTAAAATCATCTTTGGTGTATTTCACAAGCGTCCCGCAAATTTCTTTAGGTATGATTTAAGTCAAAATGAACTGATATTGGTTTCAACGTAGTTCGAATCTCGGTTTCTCACTTGAATAGCAAACAAAGGAAACTGAGAATCAACCTTTTGGCTTGGTTATAACCATTTTAACCTGAATTTCACTTTGACTTATTACAGATGCATAAGCTAATTCCAACACACAAACGTCTATTCTCGTGTATACAGGATTAATTAGCTAAGACTGTATCTCGGCTTGTGCTTAAAGTTTCATAATTCAGTTTACAGGCTACGAATCCTTATCTCCATCGATCACTTATTCAGTTGCAAGAAACGACAAATTTTAACGGAGGGCCAAGGAACACGAGCATTTCTGCTTTTTTCACCATTATTTTGATGTGCTCGGTTAATAAAAGGTGAATCGCGAGATATCTATGGTTTTCGAGAGGCCTTCGACCAGGGACTTTCGATACAACATTCGTTGAGGAGCGAAGAAAAGAATAGCTCATTCTCCAAGTGACAATTGACTCTTACCTGGTGCATCTTGTGTTTCAGCTCTGACAAACTACAATCCTTCAAAACGTCACTCTTGCTTCGTCCCCCAATGCGAACGATACCCTCGGGATGAAACTTGTGGATTCCTTCAAGAAACTGATCGAGGGCATGATTGGTAAAGCAGACTACAAGGATTGGACGCCGCTCAGAAAGAAGCAAACGCTCATCCATGTCGTCATCAAGCAACTCTGTACCAGTGTCCCATTCCGCCTTGTTATGCAGCAAGACATTGGCTATCTGTGGCAAACAATAAACGTTCTTTTGTGGCGGAAGCTACTGATATTAGCAAGGGTGGAAACTACTCTAGACTGCGAGTAGTTGAGGGAGCGAAATGCACGAGCGCGAGTGGAAACCACCACGCGTGAGGAGAAGTGAGACGTCTGGTGCTCTTCCCTACGTGAGTCACCTTACTCGCGGGTGGCTATTGTCACGCGCGCTCGCGACTTTTTTCCTCGCTCTTTTATCCCTGGCCTGAGGAAAATGCGGGAGCATTCGTAGTCCCCAACCTTTTTTTTGATATGCATGGCTAACCGCCTTGCTGGCCCTTTTGAGCTTTACTTCTATCTGATTCTCACTGGCCTTTGAGGAAAAAGAGTATCAGTGATGATGCTAGCAATTATACTTACCATACGAGAGGCTCAGGATCCGAAGTAATCGGCTCCTGACGAGAGTCTTAGCGTAAAGAAAAAGTATACAAAAGATACAAAAGGGTTACATAAATGTTCTCCAATTGTACATAAATGGAAGCATACATCTTTGCAGCTTTCTGCATCTAGAATTGTAGCGTTTTTTCACTGTCCTCTGTTTTCTTAGTGAAAGGTATTTTCTTTAATCAAAAGGGGAGTTAGATATGGGTCGTGAAAGTGTCTACACCGCCAAATTCAACAATACTTATCGTCATATATCTAGCCGAGTTTTTGAAAACATACCTCAAAACTGATCAGAATATTCGCACAGGAACCTGGCGATAGCCAGGTTTCTGGTCACTGGGGTGAGAAAAAACATAGGGGGCTTGCTTTCCTGGTTAGTCTCATTGTCAAGCCCAGTCACTGAGCTGACTCGTCATGGGTTCGGAGGGGGCCTCCATATCAATCCCTAGCGGGGGAGGGTGCTGCAAAAGCGTGGTACTTTTTGTTAGTCTTGCTCTTGGAGAGTCAGTGCACTGGTCATGTCTGCATTTAGTTTGTCATGTCAAATTCTTTTAATGCTTCACGCCCGTTGGCCAATGAAAGCATTCCCCTCAAGCACGTGCTAGGCTGGGGGGGGGGCGAAGTCAGGGGGGTGATTTGACCTTGAATACTCTGCTTAGAACTTGGTTAAGTCTCAAGCATCCTCTATCATCTAGAACCTTTAAGCAGCTAGAGTGTATGGCCAAGAGTGTCTTTTTGATGGACTTGAATGTTCTTTTGCTAATCAGGAACCAAGAAAAGAGTCACCTTAAGAGAACCATGAGTAAGAGCCGAGTTTCTTGGAAATATTTATTTTATTTGAGTCAGTTTAAGGTGTGTGGCCTCCAGGAGCTCGCTGGTGCGGTTTTCATAAATCCGGCTAGATATATATGTATCTCAATTTGATTTATCCGCTAAATGAAGTGTATCGTCGTATCCCCCAGTTCGATATGTTCAGACGATTCCACCTTTATCACATTTGTAAGAGTGGATTAGCTCTCAAGAAGCCTGAATGACGACCTGGACCAATTTTTAGATTTTCACTTACTTTAAGCCCAATATATGTCTTCCCAGTGCCTGGTGGTCCTTGAATAACCGCAAACTCTTTTGTCAGCGCCATCTGTATAGCCTTGTACTGGGAGTCATCTAGTTCCAGCTCTTTCGCGGACGGCCAGGAGGCTAAGCTTAGAACTGGAACATTGTTTCCTTTGGGGAAGAGAAAATTACGCACTAATATTCTGGACCACGATGGTCGGCTGCTAAGGCTTTTCCTCCAGCAACTTCTTAAATTCATTTTTTGGCTCACAGAGGAGTAGTTTATATTCCAAATGAAGCAAGACATTAGAACATCTTAATTAGAGAAAAAATTTCTTTAAATTTTTACCATTGTAAAGGTATTTTTGCCGTTTCTTGAAAGTATGACGTGATAAGTGACACCTATTTTAAGTAACATTAAAAATTTGAAAAGCAGTGTTCGAAACGTTACAGACATTTTTGCTACACAAAAAAAGGATATGTATAGTGAAAACCCCATCTCAATCAGACAAAATGGCGTGAAGTTACAGCTAATAAAAGAAGATCAAATCTCCCGCCAAATGACCATATATATGGTCAAAATTAAGGGTATTTTAAACGCGAGAACAAAGAATGTATTGGCATAGGAACAAGGACAAAGTTGCATAAAATCAAAATTGTCGTTTTTTTACTTAGTGTATATGGTGCTATGAGGCGTTTTTCGTCACCAAATGCGCCATTGTGACGTCATAATGACGTATTTCCTGAATTTTTACTCTGATGCCAAATTTGGCCGTTATGAAGTCACAACAGGAGACACATGGAATGAAATAAAACCAATTAACAGGTAATGTATCAACCTTCTTCCCTGCCAAGTTTCGTTACATTCGATGCATTCTACTTCTGTCTATGGACTAAAACTCTCAGTTTTAGGAGGCGCGTGAGGAAAGGCCATAGCAACCGGCCACCGTGACATTTTTTTAGAAGATGACTGGCAACTTACGCGCATGAAATTTAAGTGAGTAAATGAGTAACAAGAATTGTGCTTTGATGATACGTTTCTTGATGTTAGAAGGATTCCATGTAGGCATTTTCTTTGTGTATTTTTTTTAACCTTACTCTTTTTTTCGGTTGAAACTTAATAATGATAAAAAATTCAAGGGCGCTTCGTTTCCACGCAAGTCTCATTTCAAGAAATTACTCATCGTACCGTCGCAGAGGAAAGAAAAGCCAATCTTGTATTATAAATTCAAGACTTCAAAGAGCTGACAAGTTGGCTACCGGGGGGGGGAAACTTCCTAGTAATATTCTAATGGGGATGGGCCGCTGGATGGGGTATTTCAAGGCTGGATTGACATTTTCATTAGAGTTAGTAGAATGGGATCGTACATTTTCAGGATTTGTGGAATCAGAAAATTCAGGTACGTAGGTGGGGATTTAAAAATGGGAAGGTTTTACTTCATTAGTAAAGTTTAACCACTGTGTCAATTCATTTCAGGCTGTCCTAGTTTAAAGGCTTTATAAATTAGATGCATAAACAGAATGTTACTATGTTGAGATCGCAAAAATTACATTTTTCCCAAAGTGACTGAGATGGGGTCTATATTTGGCCACAGAATAGACTATAATGGGGTGGGGGTTCTGAGAGGCCAGCGGCACATACCCAGCAAAAATTAACCCAAGTAACCCCCGGGTTAGCAAGATTTGAAAACTACGTTGTAAGTTTCAGGTGTCTAAAAAAGAGTTCTACTTACCGCTCTGATTGTTCAGATTCAATCCGGCAAATCGTGTCCTCAAACGCATTAGACTGGAAGCGCTGCAAAACCCGAATCGAACAACAACAGTTAGACCGTTAAGTATATCAGTGACAGCCTTACTGAGAACACCAAGAAACACTAATACGTTTCTTTCAGTGTAGCAGTGTTAACGGAACTATTTTGGTTGTTGCTGAAAATCCCTTATCGAAGACAGCGCGACACATAAGAAATGAGAAAACGAAAGAGAAAACAGTTAAAGCATAGGGAAAGGGCTTGGTTTCGTGTAGAAGTCTCCCATTTCTTTGTGGCACTTTCCCACAGGTTAGAAAAGGCCATAAAACTTCTAAAACTAGAACCTTATATGAAATTCTTTTGGAATTTTAAGCAAAATTTAGAAAAGTATATAAAGAAAACCGCGACAGCGAGATGTGTCGTTAAGATTTCCTACATGAAACTCGTCTTCACAAATATTATTAAACATAATGAGTATTGTTTGGTGTAAGAGAAAGTTGTAGTTGGTCCTTTGGGCGATGAGAAACAAAACACATCATGGACATGGCCATATCTGCTTTGAAATTGCCTGTCCTTTATTTCGGCGGGTACTCGCTGGCCAGTTGAGTGCTTCCTCTAGCCCTTGGTAATCCAAGCCAAATATTTTGAGCAAAGTGACAGGCCCAGAACATAATGGGGTTAAAATCTGATGAAGACCATTTCCAGACTCAGGGGCACAGGCCTGTTCTATTGCACTTTGTAATAATCTACGCACTTTGTAATAAAATTGACGCACTTTGTAATACCTGTCGCATTTTGTAATAACACTTTTCGCACTTTGTAATAAAAAAGCTGTCGCACTTTGTAACAACAGACCAATTGATGGTCGCAGGACAAGTAAACCCAAATAAGTATCATCATCGACGACAATAATAACAAAAACAATAATAATAACTGTTTATTGTTATTATTATTGAGGATATTTTATGATGACTGATTATTTTATATAAGGGCCACTCCTAAAACGGCCACCGCAATAACACAGAGATATAATGTATTATTTATTTGCAACATCTACGCATAACTTGATTGAGACGATGACGTAATTTGATGTCATTATCAAGCCATGTTGTTGAATTTATTGGCAAAATGCAATTCCATAGCTTTTCCCTCAACGCGAAAAATACACAAATAGTAGACTGAGGTGTCTGACAAAATCAAGAACTTGGCTAACACGTTAATTATCTAAGACAATAACGTCATTCATTGTTAAAAAAAGGATCTGGAACATTTTCGTGGCCTACCCACAGATGTCAAGTTTACAATCAACTGTGCAAAGTTATTAATACTCGCGGTATTAATGGGAAATGTCAGCGCCAAAAAATATCACAAAAATGTTTGGGCATTCAAGTGGTGTCGTGTTTGAATTACGATGAATAATCTCAAAATGCAGAAAATGGGAAAATGCTTGGCTGGTACTGCGTTATAAAGGTCTTGGATATTTCATCATCATATTATCATGGACATATTTTGGAGAAACAAGTAGCTTACTTCAAAGCTCTAGGCAGAGACACTTTTCAATATTTAGCTAGTTGCAATTTCTGATTGCAGAAAATATGCGCAGTATTATAAATCTGTCTTGTTTTATGTCAGTTATAGCGCATTCGAAATTTCTGCAAAATTGGCAATAATTGTGGGACATTGACGTTGGCAAATGATTTGCAATAGTGCGATAATAACAGTAATAATAACGATGATGATGATGATGAAATTATGATTGTCTGGTTATGATAATAATTGTGGCACCTTGTTGTGCTCGATGTTTGTGTTTTTTGGTTCTATGAAATATTAATAGTATAGCAGGTAATGAAACCGGATTTCTTTGTTCCCATGCTGCTACAAAAACTTTCAAAATATTTTGCTTATAAAGTCAAGGACATCTTGCTTTTATAGAAAACCAGATAATAGGGATAGCAGCTAAATTCCAATAAAAAATCCCATAATTACGGACTCTCGCTGTAATGGACACTATCTCATGGTTTCGAGGTCATAGAAAGAGCTGTACTTTCCTACACAGATCTTGACCACTTTTCTTCACCCACACTTGAGAAATTGGTGCTGAAAACCTTTCAGTGGAATGTTATTATTATTATCATTATTATTGTTATTATTATTATTATTATTATTATTATTATTATTATTGATGTCATTGTTGTTGTGGATGACGATACTTATTATTGGGTTTACTGGTCCTCCGACTATCCATTTCAAGTTTATTACAAAGTGCGACCGCTCTTTTATTACAAAGTCGCACAAGTGTTAATAGAATGCAAAATGCAATAGGTATCACAAAGTGCTACAATTTTATTACAAAGTGCGACTGAACAAGGCCTCCAGATATCATCCCATGACTAAGGACGAGAAGGCTCGCGTAAAGCAAGGCACGCGATTAAGACTGTTACTGCTTCCACTGGATTTTTCCCAGACCTTTTTGTACATAACTACTGGAGGATCTCACACCAAACTCAATCTTTGCATTTAAGCAACACCATTCTTAAATGTCTTTAAAAAAGGATTTTTAATTTTACCTGGTAGTTGAATCTCTGGACTGTTTGCTCATGATGGGTGTGAGATCAAACCTTACTGTTCCGCGATACCTGTTCCTCAAGTAAGCTGGTGGGTCAACCTCTTTCTCACAGTTGACAATGTACTTCTGTTTTTACAAAAATAGCACAGACCAGTCTCCATCAACAATTAATAAAGGAGGGGGGGGGGGTAAATCTTAATTAAGGGGAATAATGGAGGTATTTAAAGAGCTGTGTCAAGAGGATATGGCTGTTATAGGTCAATTCTGTACTAAGGACAATGATTAATGCCTTTACTCATACAAAAAATGCTCCAATAAAGTTATGGAGACGATATCAAACAAAATTTCATCACCATTCAGGGTGCACTGGTCATAATAATTTGCCGCTGATTTTTGCAGGCAAAGCAGTGAAACTCTAAAGAGTTGTGCCAACGTTTTCAAGTTTCATTTTATTTCCATCGTTGCCATTCGTTAGCAACAGACGACGTGGAAAAGTTTCAATGCCTGAATATAGTTTTAAATAACAAAATTGGAACATTATTTTTGGAATCCAGTTGATGCGAAAACAAGTGATAGCTTTTTAAAAAGAAAGCAATTAGCGTGACATAGCCGCTTTAAAAAGATTGGCGTCTATCCGGCATGGTCAGTTTCCAGCTTTCTTTTCAGTCTTTCGTTATTAGTTAATGACTGGTCAGGACTTCTTGCAACAGTAATGTTTCTTATCAGTTATCGGCATTGTTTCTTTGTGGCAGTGTTCAAAAGGACGTCGATAGAAAATTAACTGAAATGTAAGTCGCGAAAGTAGTATAGTGCTTCCCGAATGCGCTTCTAACCTGTAAAGGAAGGCGTGCAGGATCCACCTCTTTGAGTCCTTCCAGTATATGACGATAGGCCTCAAAGTACACAGTGCTTTCTACCATCTGAAACACGTCTCCTCCTTCAAGTCTTACGTTATCAGAGAGATTGATGAACTTTATGTCCACTTTGCCCTAGAGAAATATTGGATGCAACTGCCTTAAATGACTGATAAAATTCCTCATTGTTGAACCGAAGATTAAGGGTGTGATGAGGCTAAACGTCAGACAAGATAATTTGTAGCGGAAGAAAACTGGTTTGAGTTTCATTTTGCCTCGCTTCGGTTGGTTTACCTTAAAATAAGCGGAAATATTCTTCTATTGAAAATTCAGGGTCACCAAAATTGCAAAGTATTCTGAATGATTTTTAGGTATTTAGTATCGATTTTTAGACAACGAGTAGTCCACACATTTTCCCTCAGGGATAAGAGAGCGAGCGAAACGCGAGTGAGCGTGAAAATCACCCCATGCGAGAAAGGACTCGCGACGAGGAGTGAGAGAGATCCTCCCCGTCGCGTGTCGCTTTTTCTCGCTTGGGATGATTTTCACGCGCGCTCCCGTTTCGCTCCCTCTACTATCCCTGAGGAAAAATAGGGGACCACTCATCATCATAGGCAGTCAGTAAGATCGGGAGAAACGGTGCGACGAAAGATTTTTGGCACGGGGGCTCTTCCGCACGTGCTTGAAACCTACCCTGCAGCGTTTCTTACAACCCTACAGAATGCCCCTGGGGCTCCGAGGATGATGTTAGGTAGAATGTGAGAGGAAGAATGTGTGGAAAAGGATGAAAACTTACCTGCTTTAATTCTTTAGGATCACGATTTGCTATGGTAGCATACACAAAACTTTCAAACTTGTCCTTAGAAAGACACACTAGCGACCCAAAGATCAATCGTTTGCTGTTCTCCCAACGCACATTTCTTAAGCTGGTGTTATCAAATTTAATCTTGTACCGAAGTCCGTCCGTCGTGCACACAGGGTATAACAGTCGGGCATCTTTGTACACGCGGATGTCTTGAAGGCCACTAAGCTTGGCAGAGCCAATGCGCTCTAACAGCTTAGCAATTCCTTCACGTAGGGGCCTCACGAAGTCTTCACGAAGGAGACGAAATTGTACGTCCAAATAATGTTCTACGTCATTGTAGCTACCATCAGTTTTGTTCCTTCTGAGGAAGGGACGTTCTCCTGTCAAGATGTCCTGTTGCGTTGGTATAACGCTGTACTCACGGAAATTATCTGGTGGATCTACATCATCATTCTCTCCAGCTATAACAAAAAATGACGAACAATTTGACGTGTGGCAACATTATTTTTGGTGTGGGTGTAGTTCTGTGCCTTATAATCTTTTGTATTACGACGCCATTTGGTGATTGCAACCGTCTGCAACAGCAAGGAGTAAAACTACATTTTTTTGGGAGTGCTTAGGTATGTTGGGCGACTTATCTCACCACAAAAAACAACACTAAACAACAGCTTTTTAACGTAAATACAGCCGTAATCGTATCAACTTCAGTATTATGCACACTCACCGTCTCTCCGTGGTCTCCTTCTGTGCTGTTTTTCTTCCTCCACCTTCTTCAGCTCATCTGCCTTTTGACTCCTCAGCTTCATCAGTTCCTCTCCTTCTGCCACTAAGGCAACATCAGACTGTTGGGTGTCGGAAAAAATCCTGATTCCACAATACAAATCAGACACTGGAAGGTCGGCGTATGAGTTCGGGAATATTCGAAGCAACTCCTTCGTCATTTTCAGCGAATTTTTTAGAAACGTGGCTACTTCTGTGGAAGGCATGGAGCAAGCGGACAGCCTGTTGAGGAGTGGTCTTAGATGTGCATTGAAGAATAGTGATTTGGGCAGAAGGTTTAGTAGCTTGATTAAGTACTCCTTGGAACTACAACCGCAGGCCTTGGCAACGATACTCACTGTCAGTACAATCCAGTCATCCTTCATGACTGATTGTTGGTTCAGTAAAAACTCGGTAGCTGGGAAGCATCGGCTTGATGTCAAATCCAGAATGATTTCGTCAGGGGTTTTAGTGTCTAGTTCTTGAAGTGCTTTGAATCCGAGCCTTACTTGACGGGGATTGTGCCCCTGTGCTCTGTCTTCATCACCTCCACTCCTTCCTCCTCCTCTGCCTCCCCGTCTTCCAAAGCCACGACCACGCCCCCCTCTTCCAGCTCTTCCTCTTCCGGTACCGTTCCTTTCTCCATGAGTGTTAGGAGCAAAGACTGTTTCTCTAGAGTAAGATCTTCTGATCGCACCATTTTCACGTGGTTTTCCACGTGAAAGTGCCCTTGGGTACATCAGAGTGGCTTTTCCTAAAAGCGAGAAGAAATTTTTAGAAAATGTCATTTAGCTTCGATGCATCCGTACAACTGTTTATTTTAATGTGATGTCTCGTCTTCAACATCGTTCATGTCTTCTTGTCCTATAAGATCCGACCTCCGACCTTTTATTTTTTGCGACTGCCCTTTCTAAACAACAGCTAAAAAAAATTCTCGAGGGTGACTGCCATAGAATGCACAGTTACAGGTGTTGAAAGAAAAAACGCAAAGACAACCCGCCTTTTTTCTTTCCCGGTTTCGTCAAAGGTGCCCAGCGACGAGAGGCGGCCTTATTTGCAAGCTAATGTCTTTTAGGGTTATGGTTGTTTTTTCCTAGATTTAAAGATCGACCTCTTGTCACAAAATGTTTTTCCTTAATTAGCTGTAGATTGCGATATTTTGGTTCCCTGCTGCTCATGGTATTCATCCATAAGATGTTGGTTCTATCATCATAGAGCAGGTCAGTTTATTCTGTGGTCTTTATTAATCAGCTTTAGTCATCTACACTCGTTTTTCAGTCCCATCAAGTCACTGTAAAGGATCCCTCTTTAGAAGGTTTGCATGGTGTTGCAGCTCGACTATGTGAAAGGGTGTTAGCCCATATCTTGACTTTCTCAGCTATCGTTTAACTCTTTGGTTCACAGATCGCAGCTACGGCTATCGGATAAAAAAATCTTTAATTTAAAAAAATTAAGACCAATTCTCAGGTAACAGTTTTACCATTTTGGTCCCCTTTCCATCACTATCTTTTCCCCCACGGCTGAGTTGTTCAAAGCTGGGTTAAGATAACCAAGGGTTAGTGGGAGATTTGAATTCAGATTTAAAGCTTAAAAAGCATTTTAGTTTTAATTCTTTTTGTCTGCAAGTTGATGATTGGAAGCTCTAAAAATAACAGAGAAAATTATCCGAGAAAATGCTTTTGACCACAAGAAAAAGAAACCAGGTTTAAATTTAACCCCGGGTTAAACGCTAATCAGCCTTCGAACAACTGGAGGACCGTCTCCAATGCTCTCTCCTTAACCTTGTCCACGTGTTCAGCTATTAGAGTGCGGGCGAAGCATAGACCGCCACGTTCCAGCATCTGAACGCCTGGAACTGGTTACTCTGATCTCAGTAAAATAAATCCACAGTGCTCTCTGTCACTCCCCTATGCACAACTTGAAAAAATCCCCGGGTGACGTTTGAATCAAGCGTTTCAAGATAGATTTGGTGTAAATGAGGGTTTGAATGGGGGGTCAACATGTCGGTTAAAATTTCTTTAGTTTGTCGGTTGTTGGTTAAAATCTTCCATCAATCAATCAATATCAATATCAATAATTTATTTACCCACGTTAACGTCTAAGAGGACAAGTGCTCGTTCAAAATACGAACGAGCATTAAACCTACAATTATAATAAAATCTAGTGTTAGAAAAATGATAATAAAAATATATGTATATATATATACATATAATCCATAATCTATGTACACATGAATATAAAAATGATAAAAATTACAAAAATTAAAAAATTAAAAATATAAAAATTACAGCTGAGTTGACCTTAGCTTAGACTTAAAAATGTTAACATTATCGGCCATCTTGACATCCTCTGGAAGTTTATTCCATAGTTGAGCGCACTTGTAATTAAAAGAGTTCCTCATAAAATTAAGATTAAATTTGGGAACGCAAAGATTAACACCATTTCCTCTTAAATTGTAAGACGTTTCTCTTATGCTAAGAAAGTCTCTGATGTATGTCGTCTCTATATTCCTAATGCATTTAAATAATAGGATCAGAGATTGCTGCTTTTTCCTACACTCTAAAGTGTCCAACTTATATATATTTAAGAGTTCTTGGTAGGACAATGATTTCCCGTGCCCTGTCAGAGTCCTTAATATATAATAATCGGCGTCTTCAATTTTATTGGCCTGGACTTTCCCCACCCCTAACAGGAGGGGACTACAGTTTTCTAGACGTGGTAAAATGAAAGACTTGTATAATGCTAGCATAACGTCCATAGGTACAAAATGCGTAAGTCTCCTAAGTGCGCCGGTCTTCGCGCACGCCTTTTTTAGCTGACTTGAAATACGCTCTATAAAGTTTAACATGCTATCAAGTTCCACGCCCAAGATTCTAATAGAGGGAAGTTTAGTAACGCCAGAACCATTTAAAGTTAAGTCAAAATCGTACTTGCGGGGACCGATCGGAAGGGCTTGCTTCTTGGCGTTGTTTATCAACAAATAGTTTGCATCGAACCACTCCGACAGGCGGCTGAGACCTCGATTCACAACAAATTGCAGGGCAATGGGAGGTACATCTAATGCATACGGAGTCGTGTCATCAGCGTATAATCTCAAAGACACGTCCGGGACCGCATAATTCAAGTCATTAATGAATATCGTAAACAACAGTGGCCCGAGGAGAGACCCCTGTGGGAGCCCCGCCCTCAACTCTGAATAACTTTAGCACACACCGTGCAAACAAACCCTCTGTTTTCGACCCAGTAGATAGGAGGACATCAAACTCCTTGTCGGTTGTCGGTAAATATCGGTTAATGATTAACAAAACAAGTTAATTGCTCATATTCGTTATTTAATTCATACAGTTTAAACTCTATACTACTAAAAAAACTTCTTCATTCATCGTCAATTCATCATTTGATTGCAATAGAACCTCAATTTAAGGGACACAGTCAGCTTTGGGACCGCGCTGACCTGGACACTACTTTTGCCAGTTTGAAAAGCGTTTACCTCAACCCGAAATCAAATGTACGCGTCGGATACATCTAGAAATCTGTTTCAATCTTGTCTAGTGTTTCAATCGATCCTCGATCTTTTACAGAAAACCTCCTTTTGAGCAAATGTTTACTCATCCTATGACGTTATTATATCATATTTGGTTAAAAACAGTATCCAAAGGAACATGTGACAGAAGAGGTGAGAAACGCGTAGGCGCCGGGTGGGAGAAATCGCCTTCGTTGGCCAAAATAACAAAAGAAATGAATCAATAACATTGGCGAGCAAATAATCGTTATATATATTTGGAAAATCGATGGAAAAGGTAACATATGTTTGGAAAATCAAGCTTCCTTCGACAATGATTTATACAGACTCCGTGTCATTTCTCACCTTCACTATGAATGATCCAATTCAGAAGTATTCGTCGATGTCAGTGGCTTTTCCTGGACAAATCCATCGGTGAATTTCTATAGTATATTTAAAAAAATGAGTGCTCTGCTATGGCTTAGGATCTATAATCACGATTTCGGCTTGTAACTACTTCAACTTCACAAAGTTTGTTTAGATATTCCGGATGGGCTTCTCAATATCTGTTTCACGCGCGGATCTTGTGATATGCAAATCAGCCAAACCGGCTAAGAAATGGTATGAAATGCAGATGTGCATCAGCTGACTGTATCCCCTTAAGTTTGTTTTGTTTGAGCTACTCGATCACTTATTTATTACTTATTTATTGCGATGACCATAACGTCTAGCTCTCATGACGACGTTACTTACATTCTGTAAGTTCGGAGGTGGCTGCATGAGGATACCAATCCGAGCACGAAAGTATCTGTCTGTCACATGTGAAGGACATGACGTCATCTGAGGTCGATGAAGTGCTGCAAGACTGAGCGGGATTTACGCATTAGACGTTTTCCCTTGGCTCCCATCGTACGGTTTTCGCCTGCTCGCTTAGCACCCTTCGCCGATGAGGCTGCGCCACTTTAATCTGTCTTCAGTCAGTTCTTCCCAGTTCAAGGACCAGCGAAGTAATCATGAGAGAATAAGTGTTCAAGTGAGAATAATATGGGTCGGATTTCAGTTAAGTTATTTCTAGTGACTGAAATCTGTTTCCCGATACGTCCGCGTGGAATTTTTTGAACTCACTGGTGCCTCTGGACGATATCATATGCGGAAGTCAGCAAAATAGTTTCAACGAGAACCTCTCAATTTCTTCAGATATATATCCTTTTAGTAATCTCCAAGCATCCTTCATAATTTTCTATGTCAAATGGAACGCAGCGGCAGCGGCGCTCGATTGTGACCTCTTAACCAGTTCGAAAGAAACTTACGATCACTCTTATAATTTCTCTCATGTCTCTAGCATAGATAATATAAACAGCACGCAGTGAAAGTACTGCAGCAGTACGTCTTGTAGGCTCGATCGATTGCCACGCGCTGTGCGGGAAATGAGTGCGTGCTTTCCTGGATTTCCAACGAAAAGGAGGAGAAACAAAGGTGCACCATTTGAACGATCCAAACTGAGCTTTGAAGGTGGTGTAGGTACAAAATAGGCTTTCTTCTATACATGCTGGGAGACAAGCGGAAATCGAACCTACACGACTTGGTTCTCATAACAATTTCACACAAGTAATTTAATGACAGGAAATTCTATAAGTACTGAAACTGGAATTTAAAGTCATTTACCTCTGGTCTGAAATAGAGCTGACTAAAAGACCTTCCTTGTGTTGGAAACAAGTAAAGCAAAATACTTTTGACAAAAAAGGGAAATAATAGACAAATAAAAAAACCGACTTATTTCTGAATACAAATATCTGTACAATGTTGGACCATGTCGGTAGTCGGCTTGTTTTTTTCCTGTCGGTGTAGTCGGTATTTTTTTTCCGATTTGTCGGTAGTCAGTTAATATATTTTTCGCTGTTTGTCGCTAGTCTCTATTCAATGGCTTTGAGGTCTATAAGATTTTTCTGCAAATACAAATACTGTGCATGAGCACATTTTTTGGGTTCTATGTTTTTCAAACTTCAGAAGATGTTAATTCGTGCCCGAATCCTCTACTCGAGACAGCAGGTTATAAATTGCATTTCCGGTTTCATATATCTGCCTACTCGGCGCTTTATCTTCTGAAATGACCGACGTAAATTGAGAACTAGACACTGGTGAAAAAGAAATAGGAAATCAAAATCTACGAAATACAAATTCCATTTTCCAATGCCATAAGAAAACAACCTTTGAACTTATTTTGGAATAAATCTGTCA